CTCCAGGTTGATGTTCGTTCGCTACGCTCACTCACCTTTTGGTTGCGAATTAGCTGTTGTCATACATTTAAAAAAGTCATCCCTTTTATTGTTTATAATACAGTACTTTTATAAAGGTTTTATGTTTTAATATTTAACATTGGAGAATTTAAACGTTGTTAAGTGCACAGGTGTGCTGCGATTGGGGTTTAATACATTTGGACTTATTCAAAAGTAAAATAGTTTTCTGTGCTGCAATCTGTAGAAACACTGTGGCACTATTTCAAATCATGACTAATGTTTTCTAAATGTATGACCACTTTTCTCCATTTAAACAATGCTAAACAACGTAAAAGGAGTATTAGCATTGTTTAAATGGAGAAAAGTGGTCATACATTTAGAAAACAACACGTTTCTCTGTTATTATTTATCCAATCTTAACAAATCAGGTATCATTGAAAACTACATAAAATTTACAAACTTTTTTGTCTCTTGCAATTTCTTTGTAAAGTTAACGGTTTTCGTGAAATTTGGCATCAAATATTTTAAATGGCCGCCATTTTGAAACTGTTAATGATTTTTTAGTATAATTTCTAACAATAATAGGTCTTAATAAGATTAACAGTTTTGCAAAATATCAAAGCTGTATCTCAAACAGTTTAGGAGTTATTAGTTTTTTTGTAAAAAAACACATAAATACCGACAGTCAGTAAACTAGACACCACAGACCCATGTTCCTATGGTGAAATGTGTTTGTCTTGACCTAAGGAATAACGCTATATACAAGTGTCCAGAGAGTTACGGGACACCCTGTATATATACAATACAATTGACTAGTCAATGACAATACATGCTCATATCCTGCGTACAGTCGGGAAACGGTCCTTACTAGACCTAGACAATTTGAATAGTACAGTACTGAATATACATAATATACTGAATAGTACAGAAAAGTACAGTACGCCGTTGGGAGGCTCACGCTCACATCGTTGGGTGAGCTTTTATGATATCAATGGTATTTCCGCTCGGGCATTGTGTAGTGCTGGAGAGATAGACAGCAATTGAGATAAGGCTTGTTTGAGTTGTTTCGGCTTCTCTAATGTATAAAATGTAAAAATAATAAAAAATATATAATTCTGAGCAATGTACAGACTAAACTCTAATTTTATTTATGAAGATTTATTGTTTGTTTGTTTAGGCATACTCTATTACCTTTGACTCACGATATTTAATAGTGCTTTGAAATAATAAGCGCTTCTTGCATTTTTTGGACCCGGCCTTATTTTTTTGTGTTTTCCACAAATGTTTCCCGAATTAAAGCTGTTACCAGTAAACATTTCTTGCGCGTATTTATTTGATCTGACTAAAGATTACCTTGGTGACAGATTGTTACCACTGTGACAACATGATGTGTATATTCTTCATGGTTTTTTTTAAGTTGCTTAATATATCTGGCAAAAATGATTCATCTCCCGAAGTATTGATTGGATTTACTGTGAGACCAGGCATCTCCTCTACTCAGCTAATACGTATAATATTTCCTATTAATTGTCTCCTCCTCCTGTTTTCAATATTTCTCCTTTAAACTCCAGAAATTTTCTGTTCTTCCAGCAAAACTGATTGACTGTTTAGATTCGTCTATAACCGCAATCAAGAACTTTTATTTCCACAAAATGGCATTTTGAAAATGCAGTTATATTACTGGAAAACGTCAGTACAACTACAGCTAAAATAAAAACTAAAATAAGAGAATGGTACAAGGTTTCTTACCAATATCCTATCCTATACTCTAATATGAACAATGTTTGCTTGTATGTATGTATGCATGTATGATGTATGCTTGCACCAAGATCTCAAAAACGGCTCCGACGATTTTCTTCAAATGTTGTAAATAGTTTATTACTGGCCTAAAAACGAGTTTACTGTAGTTAGAACTGCCAACAAAAATCTAACTACGTAGAAAAATGAAACTGAAAGTCACATTTTTTGTAACATTAGTCTTATGGGTTGCTTAGGAACCATCTTGGCTGAATTAAATAACAAGGAAAAAGTAAACAAAAGACTTGTAAGTAGTCTATCCACAGTACTAGCAATTACAAAATACAGTAAAAAAGGAAAAACATCAGTTGTTACTATTAAGCAAAGATTATACTGAAGATAACTCAATACATTGTAGTCAAGGGTAGCAGTGTGGAGTGTGAGATCTGTTTATGACGATTAGATTGCGGTATCTGCAATCATTAAATGCTATGGAAAGGGAGGGAAACAGGTCAGCGACTAGGAAGTGGTGAAGGAAATAGTAAAGGCGAGCAGTCTGGAGTGTGGGAACTGTTTATGACGATTAGATTAAGGTATCTTCAATCCTCAAATGCTATGGTAAGGGAGGGAAACAGGTCCGCGACGTAGGAAGTGGTGAAGGAAGTAGTCTAGGTGAGCAGTCCGGAGTGTGGGAACCGTTTATGACGATTATATTAAGGTATCTGCAATCCTAAAATGCTATGTAGAAAAGGTGAGCAGTGTGGAGTGTGGGAACTGGAAACAGTTTGTAGCAGTTAGAATAATGTATTTGCAATAGGTACTGAAATGCTATAAGAAGGGATGGACACAGGAAATGGTGAAAGAATTAGTAAAGGCTAGCAGTGCAGAGTGTCTGGGAATGGATTCATATCTGCAATACTAAGACTGCTTTTAGAGTAAACTAATGATTTTCCCCGAGCGGTCTCCAACAAATATTCTTCACATTTTAAGTAATTCAATCAGCTGATTTATTTATAAGGATTCTTCTAAACAAACTGGAAGTGTGGAGAATCTTCTTTTGTAAAGTAGCTCATGAGTAATATTTATAAAATTTATATATTACTATTCCATATTATTCTATAGACTACTAGCTGTTGTACCCGTGCTTTGCAACGGGGAGAGGATACAGAACAGAAACATTTTAATCTTTACGTCTGTTGCATATAATAGTTACACATCCCCCAACGCTTTTAGAAACAAAATTCAACGTTTAGAAACATTTAAGTTATGACTTTTAAATCTGGTAAGTAGTGGATACCACCATTTTGGTTTTGATTAATTTTAAATCTTGTGTTGGCTGATATGCGGAAAACTGACCAAATCCTCGAATAAAACTTTTACATACATTATTTACCTTCATCTCCCTTAGTTACATATATCTTTTAATTTATTATTGACATTTTCAATTTCAACTTTGAAGTTCCAAAAAAACTAATTATTAGATTTAAATGACAATTTTTTAAAATTTAACTCTTCTTTATATTAAATCACAAATCCTTCCATCTTCAGTTTCTTCTCTCACAATAAATCATTAGCAAAACTAAGTAAGCTGTTATAAACTTTAGAAATATTGCTGTGCCTCATCAATACAGTCTTTTGAAATATTAAAGAAACTATATCTATATGTACTATAAAAAATATTAAACAAATAATTTAGTGTTAAAGACAGCAGACAAATTAATATGATTATCAAAGCATCAAGGACTAAAAAATGTAATAGCAAATACAGTATATGTTTCATTGCATCTCTGATTCTACTCTAAAAATATCAAAAACCAACTTAATATACAAACAGTTCTTTTAATCAGTTCCATCATCCATTGCCTTTACATTTTCACACTTACCATTAAGTAAACATAGTAACAGATATTTCATAGATTTTAGAAACAAAAGAACACTGTGTACTGCAGTTTTATGATACCGGTATTTTCCTTGGTTTAATTTAATCAGTGTTGTTGCAAAACAATAATAATAAATGTATCAAATAAAGTAAATATGAGCTGAAAGCTATGCTAAGATAAAATAAGAGTATGTTGTATTATTAAATTCAAATTGTAAATATTTCATTTCAACCAAGTCAGTAAATGTTTGTAGCAAACTGTTAAACTAGCAAACTTAATTGCCTGTTTACAATTATCATATGTTCTTCTCACTTTTAATTTTTGACAACGGCTAGAGTTTCATAACAATATTTGTTTCCCATGTTAATCTTATGGAGAAATACAAAACTATTTGATGTATTTCCCAGCGTGACAAGTACTAGAATATTTGATTATTGAACGTTTGTTACCTTATAGCCTTTGTTCTTGTAGTAAATCCTCCAATATATTTCGCCACAGTGTGTGGCATCATCAGGGAGACGAGAAGATCTATTTATAGATCTATTTATAGATCTTCTCGTCTCCTTGATGATGCCACTTACTGTGGCGAAATATATTGGAGGATTTAACATCTTTCTACAAGAACAAAGGCTATAAGGTAACAAACGTTCAATAATCAAACAAAACTATTGTCACAAAAAACCTGCTTGCGTATTAAATAAGTACTAGTGTCCCTGTTGCTCGAATTCGAGCAATTGCTAAGTATTACAGGCGTTATTTTAAAACAAACTTCAACCAAGTCAGCAAATATTTGTAGCAAACTGTTTTATTAGCAAACTTATTGACTGTTTACAATTAACCTATGCTCTTCTTCTCACTTTTGATTTCTGACAACAACTGGAGTTTTATAACAATTTTTGTTTCCCATGTTAATCTTATGGAGATATAAGAAACTTTAAAGGGATCCAGGGCCTCACTCTCTCATTATTTCCCTAAAAACAAAGTTTCCTGCACAACTTCACGCTACGCTCTTTCCAATGACACCAAAAACATGACAATCGGTTCAGTAGCTTTGGAGGAGTAATTGTCACAAAAGATCTGCTTGCGTATTAAATAAGTATATATAGATAGATAGATATAGATAGACTTTAAAAAATTAGGAACATCAATCTCCTTAAAACCAAATCACGACAAATCCTTCAACCTCTCAAAAGTCACAATACAATAAATCATTAATAAAAACACAAACATCAGCTGTTATAAACTTTAGAATATTGTTATGCCTTATCAATAGTGTTTCATCAGAATATATAAAAAAACAACATTTAATTTCATATAATTTTATTCATTTCAGTACATCAATATTCAATACAGAAATAGCGATCTATACTATATTAAGTTGGAAATGATTAATTTACCAAATATCGAAATATAAGAAGGTTTCAACTGACTTATACGATCCCCGCCCATAGATAGAACAGGCACCCTGCTAGTTAAATATCAAGATATCTCTTTTCACCCAAGACAAGGTCCATTAGTGGAAGTAATCATTTTAACCAGCATAATAAACAGTTTTGTTTTTTACCAGGCAGAAGTACAAACAAATATTAAAAATTTAAGAAAACATCTTTATAAAAATAATAAAATTTTCTTAATTAAATAATCTAAATGAGAAAAAAATGTAAATAAAAGTATACTGGTATTCAAAATAAATATTAAACTAATTATTATAATGAATCTAAACTGATTTGTCTTCACTTCTTCAGCCTTCTCTCCCCTAACCTCCATGCCTCCATCGCCATCCACCCTGTCATCAGGCCTGGAATATAACAGAACAAAAATTTTAACAAATTCCTTGATATAACGAATTTTTTTTTATCCCCTAGAACTCTCCATAAGACACAATGTATCTTTTACCTCTACATAACGAACAAACCATAACAACGACAACGATTTTGTTGAAATTTGGTACAAACGTGTAAACCTACGTTTATTTGAACGAGTTCGCGATCCAGCATGATCGGACCATGGGAACGGGGGTTTACGGGGGGTTTTATGGGGTAAAAATAGGTTTTTCCCATTTTTGACCCAAAAAACATAAAACTTAGCAATTTCTTTCCAAACCATTTTGTAGAGCTTAAAAAAACAAATAATTTAGTATATTGAAGCGTTATTATGCGCCTAATGGTTACAGAGAAAATTCCAAAAAATTGTAAATTTAAAATTCTCATGTTATTTTTATGGAGAATAAGTAAACTGTTGTAGTTTGCTTGTTTATGAACATATTTTTATCAAATTTGGAAAATGTTTTTATTTTTTACTAACTATTAACGTTTTACAAAAAACAGTTTTACCCTCCCTGATGCAGCAAACATAAGTACTTGTTAAACTAATTCTATTTAAATCGGGAATAAATGTTATATTTGTAAGTAGACATTTCAGTGTAAATCAAATCAGTCAAATGGAAATTCGCTTAGTCTGCAGGTTTGCTGCGGTGGGGGTATTTTATTGTTGTTTTTAAATTGAAATATTTGTATATCTGCTTAGAATTAGGAAATTTAACATCATCAAACAATGTTTATGTCGAGGGTAGGTTAAGTTAAGAGGAACTTGGTTGAAAATATACATATCATGACCATGAAACGCTCATAAAAAGTTATTCATTGAATAGAATGTGAAATCTACAGAAAGTGTCAAAAGTTATAATATAGATAGGTAGTAGCTACCTCTGGATTAGAAAAAATCATAACTAATCTATGGGTAGTAATATGAAATTAGGATTTTAAAATTTGTGAAAAGGCAAATGGTGTAAACAATATTTCTCTCAAAATGGCAAAAATATACAATTAATTATCTCCTTGAGAAAAAGTTTCAATTTTTAGGGTGTGTACCCTACTCTTAACACATGTTAATTGTTCAAAAATTTTAAAATGATTCAAGTAAATGTGAACTTTATAATTTCATTATTTTTTACACCAAAATCTTTCAATACAATTATTCACATTAGCAAAATTTTTAAAAATTAATTAGGGTTAGATACAACAACAGATATACAATCTCACTTATTTCATAAAATCAATAATCAATGAACCATCAAATATAAGAATAAATAAACATGTCACATTTTATTTATATTCGTTACAGACAGTTAATGAATCTAATCAAAAGAATAGTCCCTGCTCGTATTGATTCATTGTACTTGTTTACTGCCGATGAAATAACCAATATTTATACAATCAATATTCAAAAGTAGGCCTAAAAAGCAGATATTCTGATAATGTCTTTGAATATTAGCTTTGTATTCTACAAGCAGAAAGAAAACAATTAACGTGCGGGAGACTACCTGACTGAGGGTAGAACGAAACTTGTTCGCAAACGGGACTCCTTCCCAGGTACCTCACCCCACAGCCAAAAATTTGTTTGCAAACGGGACGACACCATTCCCACCACCCTCCAACACTCACTCGCTTGACAGGGTGGCAAAGAAAACCGTCAAATAATTTTGTTTGTCAAACGCCCTGAATGACCTTTTTTATTTCTTAAGATAACAAATTGACCTGGTGGGCAACGTTTTATGTCAAATGATGAGGTCATCACTGAAAAAGAAGAGTATTTTGAAGGCTTTTCATGTTTGTAGGGTGCTATTTATTTGGACAGCATTTGAAGGGGGTTTTGCGAAACTTTAAGAAAGTGTATAGAGCTAAATAAAAGGAGATTATAACAAAATAAATCGAATTTATCACAAAAAATTGTGTTATTATATATTTTTCTAAGGTCTTATTGAACCACGCTCGTACTAAATACCTTATTGATGTATGAGAATTTTTCTACTTGTTTCAACTGCTTCTGTTGACAGGGCTTTTCCATTTGTCTTAAAATTATTGCTGTTTCAGTACTAACCAAATGTAAACACAATGACATATTCAAAATAATTATAATTACTGTATGGTGTCAAAAAATATAGCCTACATTTTCTAAAAAACAAAAGCAAATTTTTGGGCACCTCTCCAGTTAAAATGCTGGTTAAATACTAGTAATTCAGGAGGGTTATGCGACATAGGCTTCGGGGCAATGGACACGGCCCTGGATTTATAAGTATTAAATTTAAGTGAATGGCAAAACTTACCATAAGTTAGTTTTCTTCAATCTTAGTCTTAAACTGGCCCCATCCTCCATCTCCTCTTCCACTGACACCTCTCCCCTGTATCCTCCAGTGTCGGAGGATATTAATTACAACACCCCCATTTTACTGGTAGGCTTCAGCTCTGTACAGAAATATTGCAAAAAAATAGTGTTTTACAAATAATTTTAGTCTAACAAATAATACAAGTGTGTACACTCATTTCTATATTTGCGACATTCAAATAGGTACACAGCTAATAGGAAAATGTTTGAGCAAATCTGGGTCAAGTTAGTACAAATATTAGAATTTGTAACAATAATTTGGTTGAGACAAAATAAATTGCTTCAAATATTAATTCATTGTTATTTCCCAATTTGCAAAAATGCAAGCTATAGCCTATAATTAAGTAATTTCCAACACAACATGTTTCGAGATGTAATCCAAATAAATTTTAAGTAGGGGCCTAGATTTAAATTGTTATAAAAAACTATAAATTTGCATACAGATTATATATTATCCTCATGTTCCACCAAAAACTATAGTAACTAGTGGGCGAAGTGGCACTTTGCTACACATGAGAGAAATGTTTAAAAGCACGAGCCGTAGGCGAGTGTGGAAAGTATCTCGAGTGCAGCAAAGGCAGTTTGCACTTGTGTTACAAATTATATTTTTCTTACAGTTATTATAAAACATATAAATAATTAGTCTTTCAAACTCTGTTCAACACGTTTATAGGTTAGGTTAAATCCAAACATTGGTGAAATGGTAAGCTGTACCAGTTGATCGTAGTTGTAATATCTTGAATGGGTAGCCAACTTATTATCAAGTGTACGTATGTATTATACGTGTCTAATAAAACCACGCTGTTTTGTGTTGTTTGGTTGGAATACAGGAGTGCGGCAAAAAAAGAGCGCGGTAAAAGTAAGTAAATGCAGCAATTAGCAACTTTCTGTGCTATAATAAGTGCAAGGAAGGCCACTTTCTCAGGTGACAGTTGGAAAAATAATTCACATGCGCTTCATTTTGAAAACTGTGAATGACTGACTTAAACAACCTTTTTATTATTACTGTTATCATGTTAAAATGTGTAATTTTGCGCACAGGCCGCCTAGTTATTAGTTTATAACTAATGTGATAACTGTATACACACATTTTTTTGTCCTAGGACGCTACAGGCACTAGTCCGGAATTTTAATTCACATTTCACACTTCAGCCTAGGTCTAGGGCTGTGGTGTTCACAAAAAAATAATAATAAAAATAATAAATAAAATCCATTGGTCATCTGGCAGGATTTGAGCCCGGTACTGAAGTTCTGCTCGCTCCCCTAGGGTAAAGAATTTAGTCAATTGTATGCATTAGGCAGGCCTATAAAATACGTAGAGGAGGCTATGACTTAGAGCATTGGAACACCGATAAATATGATCAGCCATTAATATTAATCGTGGCCAATTGATGTGACGTCAATAGGCCTATGAGCGAAGACAGAATCATATTTATTAAATAAAGTTGTCACTTCCAATTGCTTGGTGTTGAAAACAATCAGCTGTGTAGGCTTAAGTTACTTCACCCACAGTTCATTCCACTTGTTAATGTAATCCACTCTACCTTGACTATTCAAACATTTTGAGCGGTGATTTATTCCGTTTCAGTAATATTCATCTGCAGTGAAAAATAGTGGTCTTTGGATTCAGTACGTAAAATTCTACGCAGAGGATACGGGTCCGGTAACCTGACGTGGATTAGGCATCCGGCAGTTACTGTCATAACCTAACCTAACCAACCAAACTTGCTGATAATGAAAAAAATCGAATGAAGGTTAAATTCTGTCCATAAAATAAATTTATAAACACGAAAAATTCAAACAAAAGATATTGTACAGTTAAGAATAAACCCACCCAAATATGGACAGTAGGCCTAGGACATAAAAATGTTCTTTCCATGATAACCCAACCTAACATAACTTAACCGCCACAAAGCGCTGTATTTCTGTAGCCTCCGGATAATACTTACCAAAGTACCGATTTGAACTTTGAATTACTCAGTTAACAAACAGCCTAGAATCTATCCCAAAGGAGAAAGAATATTGACTCACCTCACTTAAGTTATGGTTAGACCAAGGAACATTATCACAGCAGTATGGTAATTGCCTCCAGGGTACACAACTCTGGTCTCTCTTTCTCTCTCATCTGCAGTGATGTCGATGGCAATGTCGTCCAGAAAAGTTAGTCCTCTTAACTTATTGGTTCAAGACAATATTTAAAAAAGAGACCAATTTGGGTTCAGGTTAAATTACAGCCTTTGCTCCAGGATCATCTATAAAACTAACATTGAAGTCATCAGCAATGAATGATATAATCCAAGTCTAGTCTTACACCAAATACAAACAGCTCTAGAATATTTGACAGCACTTAAGTTTACGTCCTACACTCATTCCATTTCTATTTCTTTAATAGGCCTACTTTCTTTCTTATTACTTGGCAACCATACAAAGTAGGTCTAGGTATTTTAAGCCAAGTATGAATTAGTTATGGGATAACCGAATGGTTTCCATGACCGAATAATCAATCAGTTATTTTTTGCGTCAATCGGTTATTTTTAGTTGAATGAATCACCGAATCAATTTTAGTCATTAAGTATTCACTATCACAAATCACAAATAATTTTTATCCTAAGGGAAACTGAATGGCATTTAGTCTTTCAGCGTCAATCGTTGATTTTTAGTCGAACGAATCGCCGAATAAATTTTAGTTACATTACCTGATGATGTGACAAACTAAATCAACTAAATCACCGAATCGCACAGTAAGACTAATTTAACCGAACCAGGATAAAATAACCGAATTAGTCTATTCAGCATCAATAACCGATTGATTCGGTTATTTTCATTCGGTGATTCCAACCACTAGTATGAATGGAGATGAGTGTAGGATGAGTGGAGCCATCTTGTAGTCTTGTTAGTGACTAAGACCGACATGCCTTAGACATAGCTGTTAATAGCCCAAACAGCTAATGGCAACTAAGGGACATACAGTTTATAGTGGAATCCGAACCACATTATTGCCTTGGTAGGTATAGGCCTATACGAATTGGTCTAATTACCAGGATAGTACTGGGGAGAGTCGTAGTAAGTACTCACCGTGCGGACGTTAATCCACACCAGGGACTGTTGAATCCACAGTGCATGCCTAAATATCCACAATTCGTGACCTCCTAGTAGCTGGATTACAGGACGACGCCACCCGTCCCAGTCATATTGATTATTTCATTTGATAAACTTAAACTTAGGCCTAAGCCTATATCAAGTTTGGCTAGTTAGGGTAAAACCTAACCTAACTAAAGGAATGGGGTACAGTTTCTTAACTGGGCTATGCTAATATCGATTGAAACTATGGGGATCATAATAGCCTAGAGATAATGCCTATTCAAACATTTGCTACAATATTGCTTGATGATCCAGAATTAGCCTACGAATAAGCTGTATCTTAGGTTCTTGTTGGTGACTTACCTAAGTTAGTGTCTGGTAGGACTAATGTTATCATGTTGATTAAGTTTTTTATCCTATAAAAATTAACTTATTTCTCATTATTCCTTAAAAACTATTGTTTGTAACACTCGAGTCATCTATTTTCTTGTAAACAAGGAAAGAAATAAAAAAGATAAATATTTACAATATAAAAGTTTTTTGTCAATAAATGGCCAGCTTGTAGATGCCCGTCGGAATTCGGAATCAAATATTGCGACTCGTGAGTTGAGGAACTGAACGATGAATTTTTAGAACAACTCCTTTTCAAGAGTAGCTCCGAAGAACGGGAGCTTGTCGATATACTGGGACTATTTCAGTGTCGACAAAGTGAAACTATTTCATTGTCGACAATATGGGATGTCGACAATTTGTGGTGTCGATCATTTGCGACGTCGGTTATTTGGGATGTCGGTTAAGTGGGAATATTCCAGTGTCGACAAACTGGGAATAATTCAGTTTCGATCAATTTCTACGGTTGTCGATATTATGGAACCCACCCCTGGTGTTGACACCACAGGGGCGTGTGCTTGTGATATAAATTAGTTATCATCAGCTGTTTGATATTGTGGACATTTTTACTTGTTTATCTTTGGATGATTTTTATTGATTCTTGTTGTCATGGAGAAAACAATATTTACTAGTGATTTTTTATTGTTCTGATGTGTAGTGAATGTTAGTTTGTTACAGCATTAAATATATTTTCTATATTTGTCTTCAATTTGCATGTTGAATTAATTAGGCTACACAAACCACGGTAGGCTATTTGTTTAGGCTACTTTTGGGTCTTCTAATGAATTTTAAAAAAAATTTCTCATTATTTGGCCTATTTAGAACACTCGTTACATTTGCCACTTTTGGGGCAAACGCCTATTTCACCCTAAAAATTGCAAAAACTGCTAAAAATCAGCGTTTTTTTTTTATATTTTCTATCACTTTTAATGTGTTTTTACTATGAGGCCTACTTAGGACATTCACTGGTACTTTTTTACCCAGAAAATCAGGTTTGAAAAATCATTAATAAAAAACACTGCAACGTGCCAAAATGCCCGGCTCACTCCTCTACCAAACTAAATATGATCTAGGTAACTCTGCTTAAGTTAGCAATGTCGAAAATGACAGATTTTTTTTCAAACCAAGGTTAGGCCAAACTGTTGTAAAATATATAATAAAAAAAACTTAACGAAAACACTGCCACTAACCTAAGTATAACCTGTTTCAAAACAACAGATGACGCTGACGCAATCTCCTTGTTGTTTCACGTTGCTTACGAGCACTGAGCACTGAGCTAAGTAATAATATACTTATCTCAATGTTTACGAGACAAGTAGGCCTACTGCAGAAAATCAAATCCATTAGAATGCTAAAAAAAAATGTAGGTAACTTAGTTTATCGATGAAGCCCAATCAATACTAAATCCATTTGTGTAAAATAAGCCAGAAAAATAGCATTTAGCGAGCGTCCGATATATCGGACTGTGGAGTAATTTGCAGGACAGCTGCGGTCCAAAGGCTTAGGAGTGGATTGTGACAAGTCCCCTTGGTTGCACTTTAGTTTACATCCTACATTTACTATTATTAAACATTAGGCCTGGCCTATACATTAACTACCAGCTGATTGAAAAATGAAACTGTTCTAAACTAAGCCTAGCCTTAACCAAACAGCAGTACCGGTGGCGGTATGTGAGTAAATGTAGGACGGCGGTATGTGAGTAAATGTAGGACGTAAACTAAAGTGCAGCCGTCTCCTTGTCTATCTATATAATTTCTAAAGTGCTTTTTTTGTCGGTATGCCATTAAGTTACTTAAGTTATGTACTTACTTATTTCTTCATCAATTTTCATAAATGAGGTGTCATTGGAAGGTTTTGTTTAGGCCTACCTAGGCTACTTCACGGGGAAAATATACAGTACATAACTTATTACCGTACTATTTTTTTCAGTAGGCTAGTTTTGTTTTTTTTGTAAAAACTATCTAAGTTATGTATCATTTTGTAAGCGATTTGGGCTCGTCATCTAAAACATGCGAATTAAATTAGGCCTAATCAAAAGAAACCAATCATAATAGGCCCCATCTCAAATCCGATTGTTTTGTTTTTACTCATGGACGGTTGACCTATCGATGCTCATCCCTATCTTGATCTTCAAATCCTTGAGGGCTCATCCTGCCAATCAATGGGAAATGGTATTCTGAATACAACTTTTTACTCATATTTTACTCATCATGGATGTTAGCCAGGCATTCGATAAGAAGGTGTGGCATGTTGGCTTGGCTTATTATTTAAAGAACAAACTGTTTTTACGGTCCAATTAAATTTTTCCCATTTTTATGATTTTAAAATCTTACCTTCAAAACAAGCCTTTCTAAATGACTTGTTATAAAGATATTAATTTATATTAGATTATATTATCAGGGACAACTTAAAACCAAACATAAACAATAAACGGTATCAGCATTCTGACACATACTTTCTCCCATAAGTTTGTCAAAAACTTATTAAACATCATGAAATTGTCAAAAACCTTTATCATGTGTAAGTGTTGAGAGTAGATAACTGTATACGCAAATGAGATTTGTAAAATTTTGTTCAGAATTTAGAGGATTATAACATGCTAAATTTTTTTTCAAAATCGTTCGGGCCAATTTTGAGGTAATCCGATTTTTCTGTTATTTTAAGGGGGTTTTATGGTAAAATGACATAATTTACAATAACTTTTGAACCGTAATTTTTACAGAAATGTGATTTGTACCATTTTGTTCAGAATATAAAGGACTATAACATACTAAATTTTTATCAAAATCGTTCGGGCCATTTTTGGGAAAATCATATTTTTTCGTTATTTTATGGGGTTTTTATAGGAAAATCCCCATTAAAAATAAAAATTTCCAAAAAATTAAAAAAAACTATCAAAACTGTAAGGAGTATAACATACTATGTTAAATCAAAACCGGATGTTTTTCTAAAATCCTATTTTTTTTGTTTTATGGGGTTTTTATGGGAAAATAACATATTTGACCATAACTTTTGAACCGTAATTTTTACAGATATGGGGTTTGCACCATTTTATTCAGGATTTAAAGGGCTACACCATACTAAATTTTTATCAAAATCGTTCGGGCCGTTTTCGAGAAAATCTGTTTTTTCCGGTTTTTTATGGGTTTTTATGGGAAAATTCCCATTAAAAATCAAAATTTCAAAAAAATGAAAAAAACGCCTGGAGATACCATGGATTAGAACCTACATACCAAATTTCATCGAAATCGGACCACAGGTGTGGTCTCTAGCTCTGTACACATCCAGACACACAGACACACACACACACACACACACACACACACACACACACACACACACAGACATCACTTCGAAAACCACTTTTTTAGGTCCAGGGGGACCCAAAACGAATATATCCACTCAAAACTCAAACTCGAAAATTTTGACGAAAACAATACTTTCTCCATATACTATGGTATAGGGGGAGAAAGTAAAAGGTAAAACGGAGATCTGTCACTTGTATTGTATTTGCTTGTTTGTATCCTGTGGCGGAATGGATATACGCAGCATACGGGAGGGACGATGGCTAAAGGTTTGGTGACGTCATATCTATAGTGGCTAATGTCGAGGAGTATGTTTTATCTATGGTATTACTTCGTTGATTAGAACAAGAACCAATATTACTAGTTTATCGTAATAAATAAATCAAAATAATATTACACTGGCAATGATTATTTTCTAATATGATCGCAGGTTTTCTCAATGATCTTACACTCCCAACAAGTAAGTAGCTTGTTAAACCTATGTACTTGTTTATGGGTGAAAATTTCCAGTCTTATCCCACAGCCTGAACAAAAAATATGCGTCGTAGAATCATTATTTTTATTGATTTACTGTACTTTTCAACCATTTGCTCAACCTATATTGAAGAACAGGAAATATCCAACAAAATCTCCTAAGGCTGTGGCCACACGGGCGTTTTTTTCACGCACAAACGCAGCGTGAAAACACGCGAAAAATTAGAGTAACATTGAAACAAATGGGTGCCCGCTACTGTGGGAAAACACACTGCGTGTGGCATGGCATACCCATCGATCTCTATTATTACTAATAATAGAGATCGATGGGCATACCTCATTACATTTAATGCTGCTCATATTTCTTGCAATTTTTCACGCTGCGTTCTTGCGTGAAAAAACGCCCGTGTGGCCGCAGCGCCTAACTGCTGCAAGGTACTACCACCTGTTGGCTAGCTAGAAGAAGAAGAGGCATTTTGGAAACCGGAACGTAATGAGCACTAATCAATGCAATACAAAGTGCTGCAACCTGCAGGGAACGGCGGGAAATTGCCGAGCCGACTTGTTTAAACAGTTAACTGAATCTCCGCCTGACTGTGCCACCATCTCAGACGGACCAGGACCAGAGAGAGAGAGATGGACGCTGCACGCCCAGTGTAGAACGCAAGTCAGTGTCTGCGCGTGCGTTGTGAAGTGTGAGGTGTTTAGTGACAAAAAGTTCCTATACAATATTTGTGAATGGATTAAATCGACCCTTTGACTTTCAGTGCCGTCTCCGGTGAGTTTACAGCGATTATGGATGTGATTTTGTTTATTTATAAGTCACATTGCCGATTGTACATTTGATTTCTTTTCATACAGCATTACTACCCAAGCATTGATTTTATTTAGTACAGTCAGCAGTGCCCAGTGTGAGAGCTACTTGTTGGATGAAATTGATTATTAAATTATAACCCAAAGTAATCTTATCTAAGAATGTTCTACACGCTTAGTATTTGATTAAATAATAATTCAGGTAATTTGTGCTGTTAATAACAAGAATAATGATAATGTTATTAACTTAATAGCAAAACTGATTAAAAACATTTACACAAAGTTCTTTACAACATACAAATCAAATAACTGCAAAAAATACTGGTACATAAAAAATACGTAATTCAATTTCGTATATCATAGACTAAGGCTTAAAAAAATTGAAAATCTTTTTACTCTAAATGTATGATATGGTGATTATCCTGCAAACATTGTTTTGTTGGGGTGTACAGTTTATTAATGGGCTACGGTAGGCCTATCGATTGAAAATAAACGATTCAATTAGTAAATCTTCATTCGATTTTTTTAACTAGGCCTATCTGCAAGTTTAGCTAGTTTGGGATAGCACACACGATTTTTTATTTATTTATTTCCCAACGGCATAGCCACTTTACAATGAAAAACATTTACAACATAACAACTCACAACAAAATAGTGAACAAATAGTGAACAATAACAATAGTGGTAACAATATCAATAGTAACAAAAATATTAACAATACAAATATTCACTTATGTTAGACTGTGTGGGTATAGAACAAAAGATAAAAATGACATTGCCATCCCTTTTATTGTTTACTAGCTGGCCCGACAGACGTCGTCCTGTCCTATTGTGGTTTTATGTCACATGCTCGTTCATTTTCAAGATGAGCTCGTTCGCATGGCTCAATCACGTCCAGGCCTGTTTCATAAAATTATATAAGCTTGTAATATAAGTATTTACCTGATAATATTAAATTATAATACTAGTATTGTGTTTCATAAAAATATAAGCTTGTAAAACAAGTTATAAGTTTACCACCCCAAAATACCAGTTATAATACTAGTGTTTACACAAATCTTGTTTCAAAAACAATAAAAACTTATATTATAACCCAAAAATTTAGAGTAATATATTATAAGCCTTTTTTGACCCATAGAATTTTTACTTGTGACGTGTATCTTCTAGTAAGATGTAGTAAAGTAAAAATATATTAACAATTTTATCAAAATAGAGATGCAATCAAGCGGATCAAGTGATGAAAGAGACATAGTGATGGTTAGAAGACCAAGAACATTTACACGAAGGATTTCTTACTTTCAAATTCAATAAACTTATGAGTTTAATGAAAGGTTTTACTATCAATTATATTCATTAAATTTATGCAAATTTCAATATTATATTAAATACAATCAAGCCTGTGTTACAGCACCCAACAAATAGGAACCATTCATTAACAACCAAAGAACAATAATTGTTACAAATTGCACTCATTGGTTTTTTTGGCGCGGCACGCCGCGCGCCGTGTCAAAAGAGACAGTTTACCGCGTCATAAAAAATAAAATAAAACTAAATTAAATCCAACTATTAATGAAAACTTATTGATTGACACCGTTTGCTGGCCAGAAGATGTAGGAGAAACAATCAATGCATTCAGTAATATCGCTGGCATGCCTCTTACTTGTTCAAATTTTTTTTTTAATTCTTCATTTCAGGTTTGCTTGATATTTTGATCAAGTTAAAGTCAAAATATTGCAGTAAAAATTAAACTTAAAAATCAAACACTTTATAAAATAATCAAGTAAAATAATGCAACAGCTGTCTTATAACTTATATTATCAGTGTCATATTTTATAAGTTTGTACATTTTTTTATGAAACAGAAAATTACCAACTTATAAAATAAAAATTTATAAGCTTATATTACTAGCTTATAATATTAGTACTTTTATGAAACAGGCCCAAAGTTCTTTCGCTACGCTTAGGCTACTCACCTTTAGGTTGGAGCTCGTTCGCTGCGCTCACTTGCCTTCAGGTTAGCTCGTTCGCTACGCTAACTCGCCTCTAGGTTGAAGTTCGTTCGCTACGCTCACTCACCTTTTGGTTGCAAATTAGCTGTTCTCATAAATAAAATAAATAAATATAGTGCTGCACCCTGTTGGTAAACCTATTAACTTTTTAATGCTATTGAACATCACAGAATCAAATTGTTTAGTTGCACCAGCTGTTAAGATTCTTTAATTCCATTTAAATATGAGTACTAATAAGGTTAACATAGGAAACTCCAGAGCCACTGGGGCCCTATTGACGGATCTGCACCAAACTTCACACAAACCATCCTTGAATAATGCTTAATAATGCCTGAAAGTTTCATTACAATCTGTCGAGTGGTTTTGGAATCCATAAAGGACAAACATACAAATATACAAACATACATTGGATTTTATATATATAAATAATACTTTGACACAGGTTTTTACTTTTTATGTTAACATATTTAATACAGTAGTGGAGAATTTGAGTGTACAGGTGTACTGCGATTGGGGTTTAATATATTTGGACTTATCCAAAATTAAAATACTTTTCTGTGGTGCATTCTGTGGAAACATTGTGGCGCTATTTCAAATCATTACTTATACAGAATGTTGTGATTCAAACATATTCAAACCTACAAAACAGTTGGTGAAAGTAAACATTTGCTTTTCAATAAAATATTTTTGTAAACATTGTATTTCCAAAAGTCTGACATTGGACCCCTTAAAACCCATCGATGTTAAAACCCTCTGGGGCGGGGCTCTTTTGACGGATCTGCACCAAACTTCACACAAACAATCCTTGAATATTAATAATGCCTGAAAGTTTCATTACAATGTGTCGAGTGGTTTCGGAGTCCATAGGGTATATACATACATACAAACATATATACACACATACTTCCTATATTTTATAGATATATATATCTACTAGCAGAGTACCCGTCCTTCGTACGGGGTTGGAATCTATCTATCTATCTATCTATCTATACTATTATAAAGAAGAGGTGGTGTCTGTGTGTGTGTGTGTGTTTGTATGAGATAATCTCAAAAACTACTGAACCGACTGGTCTCAAACATCGATGTATAATAACTCTACGGGAGTTATTATACATCGATGGTCTCAAATTGCACACAAATGAAGCTACAGCTCTGAGGATACATATAGAACTATTCCCGCTTCGATATTGTCCTAGGGCTCAGCCCCGTGTGCTTTCAAAAATTTGAGGTGAGAGATTTAAAAGTAAATATTGATTGATGGTATCCATGGTAACAAAGAACAAACCTACAAAGTTTGAAAATGTAAACAAGCAGAACTAACTGTCAAATGAATTTTACATTGTAGTAAAAAATACCCCCGCCGCAGCAAACCTGCACGCTAAGCGAATTTCAACTTGTCTGATTACATTTTTACTAAAATATTTCCATAAATAAGACATATTTTTCCCTATTTAAATAACATTAGATTTAACGAGTGCTTAGGTTTGCTGCTATGGGGAAGATAAAGGTGTTTTTGACTATACGTCAATAGTATAGGAAGAAATAAATAAATTTGCCAAATTTTATCAATATATATCTATAAACAAGTAAACTACAACAATTTTCATATTCTCCATAAGAATAACATGGGAATTTTAAATTACACTATTTTTGAATTTTCTCCGTAACCTTTGGGCATAGGCCTGCAACATCGCTTCAATAAACAAAATTATTTATTTTTTTAAGCTCTACAAAACGGTATAAAAAGAAATTGCAAATTTTTTTGTTTTTATTAGGGTCAAAAATTGGAAAACCCCTTTTTACCCCATAAAACCCCCCATAAACCCCCGTTCCCATGGTCCAATTATGCTGGATCGCGAACTCGTTCGAATAAACGTAGGTTTACACGTTTGTACCAAATTTCATCAAAATCGGATCATTTTTGCTCGAGTTATCGCGCTAACGGACATATATATCTTACTAATATTATAAATGTGAAAGTTTGGATGTATGGATGGATGTATCGTATGGATGTATGTTTGTGACAAGATATTCCCGATTAACATATAGGCATTTTATCCCAAAAATCCTTCCGGGCTCCGCCCCAGTGGCTCTGGAGTTTCCCATGTTAACCTTATGAGAAATGGAATTAATGAATCTTAACAGCTGTTTCAATTAAACAAGTTGGTTCTGTTCTATGATGTTCAATAGCATTAAAGTTACAAGGATTACCAACAGGGTGCAGCACTATTATTTCTTTTACATTTATGACAACAGCTAATTTGCAACCAAAAGGTGAGTGAGCGTAGCGAACGAACTTCAACCCGGAGGCAAGTGAGCGTAGCGAACGAGCTAACCTGAAGGAAAGTGAGCGCAGCGAACGAGCTCCAACCTAAAGGTGAGTGAGCGTAACGAACGAGCTCCAACCTAAAGGTGAGTGAGCGTAGCGAACGAACTTCAACCAGGACGTGATTGAGCCATGCGAACGAGGTCATCTTGAAAATTATTAAGAAGTTAAACGGGGCAAAGCCCGCGGGTTACAGCTAGTATATATATATATCTAGCAACAAGAAAAAATGAAAGCAACATCCTTAACATAATGATTTAACACAAAATTTAAACCCAATTTATGATAAGATCCAAGAATTAAGACAAAATTTATAAGTAAAACCATTGGTATAACGATATTCTTAATTATATAATTTTCCAAGTCAAGATAAAATTTAAACATATGATTGTATTTATTTTCTTTGTTTACATATTAGATTTAATAACATTGTGAAAGACTGTGACCATGACCTTAGTGTTGAAATGCATCAGTCATTAAAAATAATTAAAAAATGGTACTATGGTGTATTATTTATTAATATATATATATATATATATATATATATAAATAAATATATATATATATATGAATTTGAACGGATGGTGTTTTTGGCCTCTAGGGACCTCAAAATGAAAAATTAAATCGG